GTTCTGCTGTGCATGGGGTCGCTATGAGTCGGAAACGACTCGACGGCACCTAACAACAACAACAACTTTAGGTTTTCTTCTCATGAACTTAACTTTTATATTTGGAAAGGAGTTTCTAGGAAATAAAACCAAAAGGGGACTTAGTAAATATTATTTGATAAACATATTACTTAGTATCCTCTAACTCTCGCAGGAAAGGGGCTGGTACAAGAATGCTTTCTTCATAGAGAAGCACTGCAGGTTATTGTGTAGCATGTATTTTAGAGGAAAATGAGAAGTTAGACTATTAAAGCTGTTGCTGTTGTCATCGTTGTTAGGTGCTATCAAGCAGATTCTGACTCATATCGACCCTGTGTACAACAGAACAAAACACTGCTAGGTCCTGTGTCATCCTCACAAACCTTGCTATGCTTAAGCCCATCACTGCAGCCATATAGCCACTGTGTCAATCCATCCCACTGAGGGTCTTTTACTAGAGAACTTTTTTTTTTAATATATTATGAAGAAAGTCATGATTTTTTCAAATATTGATAGCTTTTATTATTTAAAAAAAGTATTTATAAATGTGGTAGTATGGTACACTAGTGTTTCCTACCATTTAGAATAAGATATTTATCTTTTTTTAATATTTGTGATATTCATAAACTCCTTTTAATTAAGGAAACTAGTCTCCGACTTATGATATATTTGACTTATGAGAAACTATACTTAAAACCATCTGTTTGGTTTGGTTTATTTTTTTGTACATCTTATCATGAGTAATATATACTACATATAATGTTGCAGACTATAATTTGCTGATGTTATTATTCCCAGATGTTTACTTGCAGATGTTCAAAGATTGAATTTATAAAGATGCTGATAATAAAAGGCAATCATAATAAAATTTTGAAAAAGAAAAAAGGGGTGTTCGTCTTATGTCAGAACTGACTTTCAACGGAGTCATCAGAAAGGGACCCTGTTATAAGTCAGGGACTACCTGTATTTTCATAAATTAAGCATATATTATAATATATATTATACTTTTTCCCAAATACATTTGCTTTCAAAAATATTCAGATGCTTCAACAATCCACCTTTGTGGAACAAAAGGTACATAATTAATAATATCTTATAAACAGACTGACTTCGGGGCTCTCTATGGACACGAAGTTGACTTTAAAAATAATCCTTTAATATGACTGATTCAGAGTTAAAGTAACAAGAATATTTAAAATGCGTGCTCTAACATCCAGGGACGATAACATTGTGAAAAATATGGAGCAACCCAGGTGCAACGCAGAAGGCCTGGTGATGTACTTCTATAGATTTTATTTTGTTAATTGCCCATGGGTCAGTCATGACTCTTGATGACCACATGTATGTCAGAGTAGAACTGTGCTCCATAGAGTTTTCAAGACTCTCACCTTTTGGAAGCAGATCACCAGGCCTGTCTTCCATGGTGCATCTGGGTAAGATCAAATATCCAAACTTCTGGTTAATAGTTGAGTATTTTATTGTTTGAAAGCCCGTTAACCATTGAAAACCCCAGGGAGTACAGTTCTGCTCTGAAACACATGAGGTCAGGAGTTAGAAGGGATCTGAAGGCAACTGGTAAGGAATAAAATTATGATGACAATATCAAACATATCAAATATCATGAAGATGGCAGGATGGCATAGGACCAGGAAATATTTCATTGTGTTATATATAAGGTCACCATGAGTCAACACCAACTCAATGGCAACTAACAAGGGATAAAAGGCACCCACATGTGGGCAGAGATCCATATAATGTGCTAAGAAGCAGCTCAGAGAAACTTAAAGATCTGAGAGACATGAGCCATGGGAGTGGGTGAGACACTTTGGAACATACCCATAACTTCTAAGAAACCTACTGAAATGTGGGATGATTTCATAGAATATGCATATATTCTGTCCAGCATTTCTACGTGGTTAAATCGTTCACTATTTAGCAAAGAACCTACAAAATGCAAAGTAATGACTCTACTCGGGCCACATTCTGTATAGAATTAATTTTGTTTCCTGCCAATATAATCTAGGATTCAGTGCAACCATGTGACTCACCCTGATATTTCTAAATTAATATTCAATTTTATAAAATGCAAGTTTTACCAGAACTTACAAGTCAAAACGAAGATTCTCTCTTTCTTCAAAAAAGTAGTCCAGAATAAATTTTCTTACAAAATCAGGATTCAAAGTATTATCAATTACTTCAGTTCTTCCGAACTGTTGAGAGACAGCAAGAGAGAAAAAGATTAAAATCAAACTTTACATAGTTACTTATCACAAGAATACTTACTACGAATATAGTTCCTTTAAAACATAAACAATAAATATCCAAACAGTTTGATAAATAAGTCCCTTCAGAAAAGGTTTTAGAGATCAAATCATCCTTCTAATTCACTACACGAAACCAGCAAATGACACGAGTTCATTCAACTTTACTAGATAAACAGATTGTCTTCAAAATTCAAAAAACTTCTTCAAAAAGCTTAAAAGTCAAATCCCTTTCTAATCAAAAGAAGTTATTGCTACCTTCAATTTCAATTTAACATAAACTTATTTCTCCAAACCTAGTATGTACCTATTTCAGATGATACATACTCTTGCAGTAGAAGGGACCAAAATATTCATAACCCTCTCCCGCTTAATAAAACTACAAATAATCCTCCACACAAAATAGTTTAGAAGTGCCTTATTTCGTAAAATGTATTACACACGAAGTCAGAGCAGTCAGTTCTGGGTTTTTGTTTTGTTTTGTTTTAATGCTTATGTTAGGTATCCAGATAGCCAAAACGGGACCTACAGTGTGTCACATTTTCTGAGGAGCCCTGGTGGTGCAGTGGTTAAGACCCTGGCTGCTAACCGAAAGGTCAAGATTTGTACCTACTAGGCATTCTGATGGAGAAAGATGTAGCAATCTGTTTCCAAAACAGTAAGTCTTGGAAATCCTATAGGCCAGTTCTACTCTGTCCTATAGGGACATGATGAGTCAAAATCAAATCCAGGGCAACAGGTTTGGTTTTTTTGTTTTGTTTTATTTTACATCGCACTTTATCTTAGAAAGAAAAACAAAACAAAAAAAACTAAACTAAACATAAGTTTCTACATCTTGGGGCAGGAGAACACCAGGAAATGAAACTCCATTTCTAGTTTTCCCTTCTTTCAAGGCAAAATAAAGCCATTAGGCACTGCATCCAATTAGAGAGCACAAATATAAATTTTACATCTTTTCTCACCTTGGTTTATAGTCTTCCCCTCCAACAACACTGGAATAATGATGAGGAAATGTTAACCCTTATTTCTGAATGTTGTTGCTGTTATTGTTATGTGCCGTCGAGTCGGCCCCGACTCATAGCAACCCCTCCTTGGGTTTCTGAGGCAGTATCACTATGGAAGCAGATTGCCCCATCTTCCTTCCAAGGAGTGGCTGGTGGGTTTGAACCGCCAGCCTTCTGGTTAGCAGTCAAGTGCCTTAGGCACTATGCTATCAGAGCTCCTATCTCTGAATGGTATAATCAATCAAACATGCTGTCTTATCAAAGAACTAATTTTCATTGAAATTCAATGAAATACTGTAAATTTTAATAGGAGTAAGAGGGAAAAAATGTGCTAAACCATTATAAAGTGAAGGTCATGAGCTTTCTAAAATTTCAATATAGTGAAAATATTGATGACATAGATTTACTATGGCTCTTGCCAACTAATCTCAAAAAAAAAAATCAGTTTCTAAGAGCCTTATGCCTTTGGACAATATTTTTTTATCATTGGCTAATAATGCGCTGGGAGCTCTGGTAGCATAGTGGCTAAGACACTTGCCTGCTAACCAGACGGCTGGTGGTTCAAACCCACCAGCCACTCCTCGGAAGGAAGGTTGGGCAATCCTACTTCCGTAGTGATACTGCCTCGGAAACCCAAGGAGGGGTCGCTATGAGTCAGGGCTGACTCGACGGCACATAACAACAACAACAACAATAATGCGCAGGGAGCACTGGTGGCATAGTGCCTAAGACATTTGACTACTAACCAGAAGGCTGGTGGTTCAAACCCACCAGCCGCTCCTCGGAAGGAAGGTTGGGCAATCTACTTCTGTGGATACCGCCTTGGAAACCCAAGGAGGGGTCACTATGAGTCAAATCCAACTCGATGGCAGTGTGTGTGTGTGTGTGTGTGTGTGTAATAATGTACAGACAAGTTATCATAACCCAAGGTAACTAATTCAGTACTCAAAATTATTCAAAATTTGTTCAAATAAATATTGAATATTTATTTTGGACAATAATAATATTACTCCCATCCATTATTGAGTACTAACTCAATAAGGAAAGATGTTGTTCTAAGTACCTTTCATATATTACTTTAAGCCCTATTACCACCTTAAAACTACTTGCTCTGAGCATTTTTCATATATTACTTAAAAACCTTACCAAAACCCTGCAAAGTAGGTATGATTAGTACCACTTGATAGATGAGAAAATTTAAGTACTTTCCAACTTAATCACTTTGACTATAAGAGCAACATTCTTTCAAAGACTCTCCTCTGTTTCTGCATGGAACATGTTAGCTCTCAGGGAAGATCCAAGAGTAAGACTATACATAGTTTCTGGGTTTTTCCAACCACTCACTGCTGGAAGGCAGAATGGTTTCCAAACCAGAGCAGAGAGTACCAAATTCACAAATTACAACACTCTTAAAACAGAAACCAACCAGTACCCATATTCCCCACCCCCTAAAGCCCACCAGCCACTCCTCGGAAGGAAGGTTGGGCAATCCTACTTCTGTAGTGATAACTGCCTCGGAAACCCAAGGAGGGGTCGCTATGAGTCAGGGCTGACTCGACAGCAAATAACAACAACAACAACAAAGCCCTCCTGTAGATTTTAATCTAAGTCCACAATCAGAGGGAAATCTATAAACTAGAGTGAAATTTTCCAGGATAAGACCATTGAATTGCAAGTCAAAGACCTAAGAACCCATGAACCTATAAAATACTTACAAACTAGTTTCTTATGGAACCCTTGCTTGTCAGCAACAAGGGTGGCTGGGTATACTCTGATATCTCTAGTGAAGATTACTATGTAGCCATTAAAATTCTTCTTTTAGCTAACCATCTATAAATTATAACTATATCCATTATAATGTCTTCTGGTACATGGTCCTGATATTGTTTTTGATGATATCACCAGTGACCTTCATATTGCTAAACTCATGTGGTCACTTTTTGGTCCTCATCTCAGCAATATCTGATATGGCTGCCTATTCCTTCCTTTCTGAACTACTCTTTTCTGGCTTTTAAAAAAAAATGTTGTAAAAAATAATGGTAACACAACATTTGCCAAGTCAAAATTTCTCATGTGTATAAACCAATGACACCACTTACATCAATCATGTTGTGTAACCATCACTATTGTCTGTTGCCAAATTTTCCATCACCATAAACAGAAACTCAACTGGGAACCATATATCAGATAAGGGTTTAGTATCCAGTTTTTATAATGAGCTCTGGTGGTATAATAGGTAAGACTTTTGGTTGCTAACCAGAAGGTCAGCAGTTCAAACCCACCAGCTGCTCTATGGGAGGAAGATGAGGCAATTTACTTCTGTAAAGATTTATAGCCTTGGAAACCCAATGGTGGTCACTACAATTCAGAATTGACTTGATGGCAGTGCCTTTGGGATTATCCAGATTATATAAACAACTCCTACAACTTAACAAGAAAAAAGACAAACAATCCAATCAAAAACATGAGCAAAGGACCAGAACAGGCATTTCACCAAAGAGGATATACAAACAGCCAATAAGCAAATGAAAAGATGTTCAACGTCATTAGCCTTTAAAAAAAAAAAAAAAAAAATCCTGCTCACAGTGACCCTATAAGATAGAGTAGCACTGTCCTACAGGATTTCCAAGACTATAGTCTTTATGGAAGCAGACTGCTACACCTTTCTCCTGTGGAGTGGCTAGTTAATGCGTTCAAACCGCGAACCTTTCAGTTAGCAGTCCAGATTTTAACCATTGTGCCACCAGGGCTCCACTAGGGAGATACAAATCAAAACCACAATGAGATACCACTTCAACTCACTTGTTATGTTTATGTGCCGTTGAGTCGGGCCCAACTCATAGTGACCCCTCCTTGGGTTTCCAAGGCAGTATCACTATGGAAGTACATTGCCCAACCTTCCTTCTGAGGAGTGGTTGGTCAGTTTGAACCACCAGTCTTCTGGTTAGCCATCAAGTGCCTTAGGCACTATGCTACCAGAGCTCCTACTCACTAGGATGGCTAAAATTAGAGAAAAAAAATTGAATAACAAACGCTGGCAGGGAGCTCTGGTAGCACAGTGCTTAAGGCACTTGACTGCTAACCAGAAGGCTGGCAGTTCAAACCCACCAGCCACTCCTCGGAAGGAAGGTTGGGCAATCTACTTCCGTAGTGATACCACCTCAGAAAGCCAAGGAGGGGTCTCTATGAGTCAGGTCCGACTTGAGAGCACGTAACAACAACAACAAGAACAAATGTTGGTGAGCACATGAAGAAACTGGAACCATCATCCATCACTCCTGTTTGGAATGCAAAATGACAGAGATGCTGCAGCAAACAGTTTAGTGGGTACTCAAAACGTAAACACAGAGCTAACATATGACCCAGCGATTCCACTCTTAAGTGTATATACAAGAGATTTGAAAGCAGCAACACAAGCAAACCAATGTTCATTGCAGCATTTGCCACAATAGCCAAAAGGTATAAACAATCCAAACATCCAAGAGATGAATGGTAAACAAAATGTGATATATACACACAATGGAATATTATTCTGCCGTAAAGAGAAATGAAGTCCTGATACATGCCACTACCGACGAACCTTGAAAACAAAGGAGGAATCATTGTTTTATGGCTTTTTTGACGTCACACTCCTCCTTTATTATTCCTGTTCTCAGATTCTCAGGCATTCAACCTCTCAGTATCAGAGCACAGTTCTAGGTCTTCTTTTTCTTCTCTGTTATCTTCATTCTTCTAATAGAATAGTGCATACATTCTACCAGTTCTAAATTTCATCTGCATGATGATAACTACCAAAAGTGTATCAGACGCAACCTGCTACTGAGTTCAGATGCATGCATACAATTGCCTTCTTGACTTATATACACACTTGGTTGTGTCACAGGTCCTCAAAATTACCAACCAAAGTTCATTTTACACCACAAATACCACCACAGTTCTGGTCCT